AGGCCTCGGATTCTGCTCGGAGCACTGTGTATATGTGAGATATTGTTGCGATTTGAATACGGGTTATCGACAGACGATGGAGATGGAATGGGGTAGGGGTGGGTCGACTAGGGCAAGCCTTCTTCCCGCGCTGTCTTGAGCGCGTTGGCAAACCACAGGAGCTCCGAGACGAAGCTCCCTGCGCCATTCTCTAGCGCAAAGCCGCTACCGCCGGCGTCCGGCAGCAAGTCGCCGTCATCGCTGAGCAAATTTTGCACCTTGGGTACGGGCACCGTGAGCGGAATTGACGTCAACCCGAGCTGTCCCAAGAAGGGCCGGATCGGGCCGGCCGCGCGGACGCCGCCAAAGTACCCCATCGAGTAGGTCACGATGCCCGCGCTCTTGTAGTAGTATTCGTTGTGGTAAAAGTAGTCCATGACGTTGGAAATCACAGGCGAGTAGCTGTTGTTGTACTCGGGCGAAACGACAATATACGCGTCGCTCTCAGCGATCTTGGCGTATAGCTCGCGGAGACCGGCGGTGCGGTCGGCGTCCGGCAGCGCCGCGTACCGGTCAATGAGCAGCGGGATTTGAAGCGGCGCCGGGTCGATCAAGTGCACCTTCTGCACGCCTCTTTCACGGAGCTTGGTCTAAAAGTACTTGCCGACGCGGAGACCCATGCGGTTTGGCCGCACCGAGCCAATGATGACACCGACCGTGAGCGCGCTCATGCCGCAATTTTCGGAAAGTGAGTCCCAGTTAGCGGAAATTCGAAACAACAACGACGGTCATCGAAGTCCATTCGGCGATATCGCCTAGGCCGCCATCGTGGATACTTCTATATTGACCATTGCTCCGTCTGTAGATCCAACGTCGACGAAACCACTTGATCCATGAAAAATGCAAGCTCACTGTCTCTTCTTGGTCGCTGAATGCAAGGAAACTTTATCCTAAATGCAACAATTCCCCGGCGGTACGGGGATGGCGCGTTGACGTTTTGGATAGTACTGCGGCAACAGGTGCCCGAAACATCGGCGGCATTTCTACAGGATGTTGTTGTACACGTAGCAGTGATGAATGACGCGATGCTGCGAGTCGTCAAGAGCGGTGAGCGATTCGTGCAAGCGTGTGCTTTAAGGTCTCTCGTCAAGAGCGCTGATGTCAACTTCGAATTAGCCACCCCATACGCATGACGCAGTAGCATTTGTGTGAAACAAATAGACCAACGTCATGCACATTTGCGATCTAATGACGTCACTTGTCGCACTGAGCCGCCCATAAAAACCTCGCAAATGCATATGTAGAGTGATATTTTCGACGTGTTGTGGTTAAAAACGTCGGCGTCTACGGGCGACTCTTTTCGCGGGCCGTCTGGAGCGCGTCCGCAAACCACGTGAGCTCGGCCAGGAAGCTCTCGGTACCCTTCTCCAGAAGCGCGCCGCTCGCGCCAGCGTTCTCCGACAGCGTACCGTCTTCGCTCAACACGGCGTGCACCGACGGCACCGGCACCGTGAGCGGAATCGAGCTCAGGCCCAGACCGCTCAAGAACGGCCGGAGCGGACCCAAGGCGCGGACGCCGCCGAACGGCCCCATCGAGTAGGTCACGATGCCCGCGCTCTTGTAGTAGTACTCGTTGTGGTAAAAGTAGTCCATGAGGTTGGACAGAATCGGCGAGTAGCTGTGGTTGTACTCGGGCGAAATGACGATGAACGCGTCACTCTCGGCAAACTGGGCCTGAAGCGTCTTGAGATTCTCGGAGCGGTCGGCCTCGGGCAGCGATGTGAAGCGGTCGACGAGCAGCGGGATCTGGAGCGGCGCCGGGTCAATGAGGTGGACCTTCTTGACGCCCTTCTCGAGGAGCTTGGCTTGGAAAAACTTGCCGACGCGGAGGCCCATGCGGGTCGGGCGCACCGAGCCAATGATGATGGCGATCGTGAGGTTGCTCATGGTCGTGGTTGTCGTGGAAAGAGGGGAAAACGAATTGTGAGATGGTGAACACACGAGCGTGCTCCAGAGACCCAAAAGGAGGCTGCAGCTCACGACAAACACAAGCAACCGCAGAAGCATGGATATCAAAAGTGCAGCGTGCTATTTAGCGATTCCTCGCTGCGGAACTTAGCGCAGAACGGAACAAACTTCGCAGTGGGATGAGTGCTGGAGTTCGCTCAAACGAGTACACTTAGTGCGCGTTGATTGGTGTATTTTGACATGCATGCGAAACTGTCACATCGTACGGTCCAGAAACACCTTCCGTGCCAGGCCCTCAGAAACGACTGTTTTTCTGTCTTCAAGGAAGAGCGTATGCCCACGTTGTTGTTCATGTCTTGATGCACGTATAGAGTCACGATCCTAGACGTAGCTACAGTGCATGAGCTCTAGTACGCGACATCGAGTACCGAATTCCAACACAACTCCTTGCGTATCGGGTAGACAGGGTTGTTGAGGGGCACGACTCCAAACGAAATCGGAGGATCCTGGAGGCACGCGTCATTCTGGTTTCAGAAGATGCTTCTGGACCCTGCGATTGGACATTGTTGATGCCGTATCGAAATGCACCAATCAGAGTGGGGGAACTGTACTTGTCCTAGGCAATTTAACGTCGCAAGTTACTTCCAGTACCACAAGGAAGTATTTTCCATAACTTGTGCGAATACACAATGTAACGAGATCGTACTTACGACATCATGATCAACTTCTGACAGCATACTTGATCAGGGTCGCGCCAACTACAAGAGGAGAGTTCTCACAATTCGTTTTCCCCTCTTTCCACGACACCACCCACCACGACCATGAGCAACCTCACGATCGCCATCATCATTGGCTCGGTGCGCCCGACCCGCATGGGCCTCCGCGTCGGCAAGTTCTTCCAAGCCAAGCTCCTCGAGAAGGGCGTCAAGAAGGTCCACCTCATTGACCCGGCGCCGCTCCAGATCCCGCTGCTCGTCGACCGCTTCACGTCGCTGCCCGAGGCCGACCGCTCCGAGAATCTCAAGATGCTTCAGGCCCAGTTTGCCGAGAGTGACGCGTTCATCGTCATTTCGCCCGAGTACAACCACAGCTACTCGCCGATTCTGTCCAACCTCATGGACTACTTTTACCACAACGAGTACTACTACAAGAGCGCGGGCATCGTGACCTACTCGATGGGGCCGTTCGGCGGCGTCCGCGCACTGGGTCCGCTCCGGCCGTTCTTGAGCGGTCTGGGCCTGAGCTCGATTCCGCTCACGGTGCCGGTGCCGTCGGTGCACGCCGTGTTGAGCGAAGACGGTACGCTGTCAGAGAACGCTGGCGCGAGCGGCGCGCTCCTGGAGAAGGGCACCGAGAGCTTCCTGGCCGAGCTCACGTGGTTTGCGAACGCGCTCCAGACGGCCCGCGAAAAGAGTCGCCCGTAGAAGATCGACTAGGGCGCTAAAACAACTCAACAAATGGACGAAATCAATTTTGCTTCAATTTTGCTTGAATTTTGATGCCAACTTGGGTTCACTTAAGGCACCCATCGGGCGAAAAGGGCGTGTATGGTCTGACTGTCTACCGGTGCAGCAAGGGGAAAGCGCGACGGGCTGCCCTCGGAAATCGCACGGATACGCCACTCTGGGAGGTCTTCACACCCACCTCGCGAACAGATTATCTCGGCTCTAGCGTGATAACTGTGATAACACTATTCTTCACATTCTTGAGCTTGCTAAACCGAGCTCACAGCCCTTGCATACGACTACGCCAGCAAGAGATTGTGACGACAGTGCGATGCATTTGCATGTCTACATCACCTCGCGTCGCTCTGCGGGAAATGATTCTACGTACCGTATAAGCCTCGGCGCCACTAGATCGCTGCTCCAGATGCCGAGAGACTGAGACGAAAGCGAAGTCTGGAGCTGACGTCGTCGCTCTGGATGCCACGAAAATTGCTCTCGCCACTTCAAGTCCAAGAAGAGTCAGCGATTTGGTACTATGAACTCTTCGCGGCCAAAACTACCGGTACGTTTGTGTCTACAGCACATAAATTCAACTGAGTTGATGTACTCTTGGTTTGTGTACAAGAGACAATCCACTGGTTATGTTGAAAAACGCGTCACGTGCACCAATGGTTGACGTCTTGACACGACCGACTCGTCATCTTCGAGCTACGTGTCCTTTTGCGCGGGGGGCGGTTCGGCTGACGCAACGGGCAGCGAAAACAAGCAAAAACTGCCCACAATCGCCAACATGAGCCCGTAGTACCTATTCAAAATTGTCAATTCTCAAAAAACTAAGAAAAATTGGGTACCCGGTGAGCGCGGTCCCAAACAAGAGCGACGCGAGGATC